TCTACCGCAATTTTAATTCAGGATGCGTTTGAAAATATATTTAACCTTTTACCAGGTTATTTAAGAAAAATAACTTAATTCAATCGATTTGTTGTTTCAACTGTTTTCCAAATCTATCATTTATCCAGTAAAATAATTTAACATTTCTAGTTCCTGCTTCTACAATCTGAGTTACTTAATGTTTTCTCACTTTTGTACCATTGTCAACTAAACACAATTGGTTATTTTTGCAGTTAGTTTCAGAACAGACACATTAAGATTAAAAGCACTTCACAATTCATCATCATTAAATGGATCACAGTTAACAACTGAACCTAAATTCATCCTCAAAGTAAGAAGTTAAAAGAAAAACACCAGTTTCAACTCTACAACCAGCTTACTGTATAATGACACAACATTGAAATAAACATTTGTTAAAATGCAGTATAACGGTATTATTATCCAAAACAATTCCATCTGGTTTTCTACAGACACGATCTGACAAGTTAAGGTACTCCCTCAGCGATAAGATCACACTCTTTAATTTGTGTTCGTACGAGTAAGGCATGAGCATTGTATTATGGCCTGGAAAGCATTCTCAGATATGAGATAGAAATGGCCAGTAAGTGTGTTTGTAACTCCAGCAGATGAAAGCCAATGATGTGCACTGAGCTTTGCTGAGCATGCTATCACCTAACTTAAGACTGCAAAAACCTGATAACCAAGAAGCATTTAGTGAGTAAACATTGGTTGTTTACATTGTCAATACAGTTGTATATCGATCAATGTGATGACATAAATGTGTTTATATTGTCTGTCCAAACAATAGTGTCTCTCGACTATAGGAAATAATCAACATTCTTGTCTGTAACACAGGCTCTTATCTAGGAAATCATCAATGTATCCATCATTGCCTGTCAGTCTGTTGGTTCAATTTTGCAAAATATCTATCTCTCTTGGACCGATTTGAGTATAAGACGCTTCTATATCACAATGACTTTCCAGCCCTGAGCCATAGCTGATCTAACAATCTTGCAAGGGGTGTGTGATTTCTTGCACAATCAGAGGAAGCAGAGCTCCTTTATCACCGACAAGCCTGAGCTTGTTATGTTTTCTTATTGCAAATACAGAATGATGTCTGAGGTACTAAAACATGTTGGAATCAACTGTAAGGATGCTTCGCAGATTTTTGATATAGCTTGTCTAAACGAAGTTCATATTTGAGCAAACATGGACAGATGTTGTCAGGATTTCATACAGAGGCCGATGAATGCAGTAAAAAACATAATCAAAAGAGAATCAAGAGACAGATATATTTACAGCTACCTGGGTTTGTTTGTTGTGGCTCACACACACACACACACACACACAACACACAAACACACACACACACACACACACACACACACACACACACACACAACACACACACACACACACAACACACACACACACACACACACACACACACACACACACACACACACACACACACACACAAACACACACCCACACAACACACACACACACACACACCACACACACACACACACACACACACACACACACACACACACACCACACACACACACACACACACACCACACACACACACACACACACACCACACACACACCACCACACACACACACACACCACACACCACACACACACACACACACAGATTATTTGTGAAAGTGCATTCAACTCGTTATGTTTATTAAAGTCTCAAAGTGAGTCTGCAGTCACAAGTGCAGTCGCCAAGAGAAGTTGTAACACAGCGGATTACAAACAGCCTTCAGATTTCGGATATGCCCAAAGTGACCACAATGACCACTTTGATAGTAAATGCTGCAAGAGGTGTGTCACACGTGCACTTAGAGCATTTTGCAGTTCTTCCAGCATGGCCTTTGGCCCTATTTAAAGCAATAGCATGGTTTCCTAGATTGGAACTGAGCCAAGTCTGCAAATTAAAGCAACATTTAATTATTATATGTAATGAAAAATGTCCTTGTACTTGACTAGGCTTTATCTTTGTAAAGAATGTTGCCATTAAGATTCACTGGGATAATAAGAGAGCAGTCTTTATGCCCCAGAGTGAACATACAGTGCATGCAAATTTGAAAGAAGTCTGATCTTGTTTTCTCTGTCCTCAGGCATGGAAGCAGATTGCGAACACATTAAATAGTAATACTTAAGTTATTCACAGCCAAACTGTATTCCTCCATCCGGAGAAGACAATGTCATGAGGGCAACAATATATTTTTACTTTCAGCTAATTGGTCTCCCTATTACAGAGATGTTGGGCCTTAATAACCAAGCAAATAAAAACGTTGCAGTTACATCTACAGGGGACAACAGGAAAGACCAAAATATCACACAAAACTATTGCTTCACTAGGGATAATGCCATCTTAGTTTTCATATACATATTGTTTCTCATTTCTCATTGAAATAGGCCTATACATTAGCCTAACAGGCATAGTGTTGCTGGCACCAACTCAAATGAGAATATAAATTAAGCAGGAACAGGAACAGGAAGTAGCCGCAGTGACACCTGCATCGCAGGTACAGGTGCAAACTTCATTAAGTGAGCTAATCTGCTTCGATTAACATATTTACTAAGGGATTTCCATACATTAAATGGCTCAGGGACACAGTCATATGACATGTACTAGTGTGCACAGTGAAGCATCGACCACTTAGTAAATAAACAGCTGCTGTTCAAACAGGCGCTAAATAAACCACTTCCTTATGTAGCCTAACCGTTTAAACAAACGTCAGAGACATTATACACGTCTGCAGTAGTTCACACACATCAACATGATATTGTTTCCATACATAACTTCACGCAGAGGACCTGCTGCAACAGGTGTCTCCGTCAGGTCTTCCGCACTTCACTCACCTTTGTGTAATACAACATCCACAGCTCGTACAGTCTTTCCTTCGATGCCATCCCGCCGCCTTTGGGGTTGCTCATATCCCTTATATTATTAAATCATGAAACTGGTAAGCATGGTTACAGCAAGCGCTGTTTGAAGTTGTTTCCTAAAGGCAGCAGGACGCAGCACGCTCCTGGGAACCATTATTCAGGCACAATAATCCACGCAAAAGTGCTTTCTGTCTCGACGAGCAAAGTTATCAGAGTGGCATGAAAAAGAAAAACATGACAGTCTGTGTATGTAGCCACGGTGCGATCGCAGTCTAAATTAAACAACCAGGAACAAAAATGCGTGGAAATTCATGCCTGGAGGAACACCCATGTCCGCGTTTACAGCGAGCTTGTTGCCGTATGATTCCTGTTGGAGAGAGTTTCCACGGAAGCGACAGATGCCATCCGCTCAACACCAAGAAACGACTGTGGATTCAGTCATCAGAGTCCTGTGATGAGCACATTATCGACATCAACTAGTGTCTCACTGTGAACAATACTGAAGAGTTGACTGTGGATCATGCTCGCAGGTAGGCAGATATTCTTAAAGACACACGCACACATAAACACAACACTAAACTACCTGACAAAGGTACGTTGAAGTCTTGCTACATGCATTAATAAAACGTTTTTTCTTTATGGTAATCATCAAAAAAGAAATAAATGTACACATAAGAATATTTTTATTAATATGCTACAGTAATTACGACATAATAGAAGTTGAACACCTCAGTGCAAGCCAAGGTATCATATCGTTTTCTGAATGAAAAAAACCTTGTTGTGCAATTTCTGTAGAATGAGGAACAAGCTGTGTCTTTGCAAATCAGGCAAGAGTTAGTGCTGATAAAATACAGACATGAACACACAAATACACATACACACATACACAAGTGAACTTTAGACTCTATCAACTAGGCTAATGGTGGTTCCTGCTGCATTAGTTGACTGTATGAAATAACTATTGCTTGTATTTTTGTCTCATATTCCTGATGAAAACTGTTAATCAAAACACTGAGAGACCGGTACCATTGATTTATACTGAAAGTAAATATATATATATGAATATATTCAAACTATTACTTTAATTAATTATTTAAAAAAAAAGTAGTAGGCCTACAGGTGGTGCTTGGCTTAACTCCCTAAATTGTAAAACACAGTTCTCTGGAAAAAAGCATATCTAATTATCAATTGAGTGTAACTTCACATGGCTGAAATATACTTAGTATAAAGACTTCTATAAATTCTATACATTTTTGAAAGACTTTGCAAGAGTGGCCCAACCATTGAATGCTGTTGGGTGATTTTTCTCCAAGTCTAACAACGTATCATATTTTACCAGTTTATACTAAAGCCTATGTTAAATATGACAAGCATATGCCATTTTTTATGCTTGATATTGTACAAAAGCATAAAATGCACTTTATCTCTAGACACGAGGTGTGTTTGTTGTTCAGAGTGTTTACAGTATAGACAACTTCTCCTATTATCTATGGTAGCCTATATATTTAACATATGACAACAGTTTATTTGTCTATTATTGGGCCATTAACATGTATCACAAATTGATTATTTAGTTATTAGTGTAATGTTCTTTAACCTTGTTAGCACCTTTTGTCACACACTTGGTCATTAGGAGGATGGATACCATGAAGCTTGGGGCAGCTGTATTACCATGGCGATGGCCTACATTCCTTCAGGACCTGACAGTGGGACCATCAACAGGCGGGACAGTGTGCCAGTGTATGTCCCCTCAATGTATAGCTCTGCTCAGAGTCCATAGGTATGTTTGAATACTACAAAATAGCATATAAGCTATTATAAGTCAAGCAATTCAAATATTATCCCATGGTCTTCCACATTAGACTCATTAATAAGATGGTTTGTGTTACAAATGTGTAAAATATCATTATTCTATGTTGGATTTTAGATTTTAAAATATTAATTCTTCAAATTTCAGTAATCTAATTCATGATTTTAAAGATTATTTTCAATGTAACAATATCACATGATAAGAAGGCAACAAGCCACCGCAATCGATGTGCTCGAAGCTCGTTCTCACATCCTGAGCCAGGACCCTTAATGGAGTTCAGAGAGCATTGAGCGGCGTGTAGAGATAAACATGGAGCGGAATGTTGGGTCACTACAGGAGCAGGCCCTAAAGAGGAAAGAGAGGTTAAAAGCAATAAGAGATAAACAAATTCATGTAAGTGACTCATTTCGTGATGCCTGGTGTCTGATAAATGCAACATAGCCTCTATAAAACCCTTCATTTGTGAGGAAACGTTAGCCGACTTAGCTTGAAGCTAACGTTAGCTTAATAATGTAGTTGGAAAATCAGTAGTAGCTTTAGTTCTTGTCTTTGTTGTGCTATTAGGAGTCTTTATGTACATGTTTGGAGTACTGAGCTAGTACATTTATCTACTTTGTAAATGAATTTTATTCAGAGACAATAACAGAGCCTTTTAAGTTTGTTACTCACGTTTTAGTTCAAATTTAAGCTAAATATTAGTTAACATGAATGATTTAAAAACTATAACAAATGTATTAACCCAAATGACAATAAACTCTTTTGCCAAAATATAATCAGCTTTAGATAAAGGTTTGACCCGCGATATGTATGTTTAATAATCGTATTAGATCCTCTGTGAAATACTATAACTAAACAGAAAGCACATGTTCAAACTGGCCAGCCAACCAAACACCTGATGGTATTTTATATACACAAGCTAAGTGGTACGCTTCTCGACAGACTGGTCAAACTAGAGCTGATCCAGCAGTTGGTTTACCTTTACCTATAAGACAACTGGTTGATGTTAAGCTGAACAATTCTATGAAGGTGCCTTAAAGTGATATGAATTATTTGATTTAAAAATTCTGTCTCCTTAAAGTATTTTATGATAAAAGTTAATCTTAGACACACAATATAAAGTCCTGCTTCTGATGAGAAAGGTCTGGGATACAATGGAGCATAGAGAGAGATTTTTCAGATGGCTATAATGGGGTAAAGATAATGAGAGATACTCTGACCATGGATATTCCAATACTGTAAATAACATCAATTTTTCAACCTCTTTCACAAACATATTGCATTAAATATGTCGGTTTCTAACTGTTTTATTTAGAAGCTCAACCATGGTGATTTATAAGTCAACTTGAATCATCTGCAAGACTCCTGAAGCTGAAAACAACAAAAGCTAACCAGTATTTATCTATTAACGTTCAGCTCACCGACTGAATTATTGATGGAGGAATAATAGAGGTAGTCTAACAATACCTGATTAATTTGAATAACAATGAACATGAGAAAACAACTTCTGCCACACATGTGTGAGCTGGACACCGTCAAAAACACACTTATGGAGGAATCTTAGTCAGAAAACGGAAAAGAAAACATTTACAGCTTTAACAGAGAATTCTCATGAATAATGTAGATACCTCGGTTACAAGAAAGGTGCTTATGAAATAAAGAATCTATTTCAAGTAGCAAGAAAACAACCCAAAATAATAGTACTTAGAGCTGCTCGATTATGGCAAAAATCATAATCTCGATTATTTGGGTCAATAATTGATATCACGATTATTAAAAACGATTATCCATTTACTTTGAAAACATCAATTTATTGGAGAAAAAAAAATGTGAACAGTATGTTTTTAACAGTTGATTACCTTGAACTTTAAGTATAATTCAACTGAAGGAAAAAAAAGTAATTTGAAAAAAAAGTAATAATAAAAACATAATTGTTTTATTTCGATTACGTTGTTTTCGTAATCGTTGCAAGCCATAATCGTAATTGCGATTTAAAATACGATTAATTGAGAATAGGGCTGTCTGAGTTGAACTACTTAAACAATACATAGTTAATCTGCTCGACTGTGATCGTCTTTCAGCTCTGAGTATGAATTCTCATTCAACAGGAAACACCCTGTTCAAGGTGCAAGCTGCTGTTTTGGCAGTTACTCTGCAATGTGTTTCACTCAGCTGTTTTTGAGTTGAGGCGTACTGGCTCGACTAGCCATGATCAACAGTTGTTGACGTTCCTAAAGCTGGGACTTGTTTTCCTATTGTACTGAACTCCAAGTATGAGTCAGTCCCCTGAATTGTTCTCAAAGGTGGAGAGGAAGCCTCTTCAGAAAAATGCAAGATGGGAGGGGTTCTTATTCTTTTGTTAAAACTTATGACTGCGGCTCAAAACATTTTTCTGCAAGTCTTTTTCCTCATGCGTTTACCTAAATGTGGCTGGTTTAGTTATATCACTCATGACATGATGATATTTTAACAGGGACAAGAACAGGAGGATGGGGAGCCAGAGAACAAAAAAGCTTCTCTAGAGGAACTTCCTGAAACAAGGCACAGGTCAGTCATCACACCACACACACATTTAATGAATCATACTTTTCATAAAGCATGTAAAGATCTCTTAAACTGTTGCTCACTGCACATTCAGCTGAGGTATGTTAAGCTGCATAAAACAGAAGAGAAACTGATTTGGAAGTATTCCAACGTAGCCTTTATCTGAACACCATCTCCTTGTCACACAGTGCAGGTCATAAGACGCAGTGTTTACCCCGGGCCGGATCACAGCCTCGTGCTATTGGCTGCTCAAATATCCTGCAGGTTACTCTACTTTGTGTCAGTTGGTAGAAAGGAGCAGCCATCTTTCCTGTCCTACAGGACCTGGTTTCCATTGTTTATATTTAATGACGGCACTGAGGGAGTGCCGCTGTTTTTCCTCCAGTCCAACACGACAGAGCTCTCATGACAATGAACATGACTCATTTAGACCAATGTCAGTGAAGCAAAAGGTCTAGTGTTAAAGGAAGGAACTTCAATAATTGGTTTGCTAAATCAAGACACAGTTATGGTAAGGTGTGGTGGTGTGGTCTGTCTTCATTTGTCTTGTCTTGCTATTACATCTTTATGTGAGATCAAATGGCCTAGCCCAGGCATGAAAGAACACAACAATAAACATGTTTGTCTTAAAGTTATTGCTCATATTAAAATAATGATCCACAAGAAAAACATTAGAACTTGTGGTTTTTCAGTTTCCTGTGTCTTATCACACATTTCTCCAAACCGAGTGCACCAAGCAGCCTTTCCTATTACATCTTGTTAGGTGTTGATGAGCTGCTTTTTTTTAACCTAGGAAGACTTGCCTTAAATGGTTTGGAAATAAAAACTATGATTCAAGGAAGTTAAAAAGCCTCTAAAATAGTGATATGACTAACATGTTAGCTTAAACCATCTCTGGGGCTCACTGAGGAGGCTCACTGAGGAGGCTAACTGAGGAGGCTAACTGAGGAGGCTCACTGAGGAGGCTCACTGAGGAGGCTCACTGAGGAGGCTCACTGAGGAGGCTAACTGAGGAGGCTAACTGAGGAGGCTAACTGAGGAGGCTCACTGAGGAGGCTCACTGAGGAGGCTCACTGAGGAGGCTCACTGAGGAGGCTAACTGAGGAGGCTCACTGAGGAGGCTCACTGAGGAGGCTCACTGAGGAGGCTAACTGAGGAGGCTCACTGAGGAGGCTCACTGAGGAGGCTCACTGAGGAGGCTCACTGAGGAGACTCACTGAGGAGGCTCACTGAGGAGGCTAACTGAGGAGGCTAACTGATGAGGCTAACTGAGGAGGCTCACTGAGGAGGCTCACTGAGGAGGCTCACTGAGGAGGCTAACTGAGGAGGCTAACTGAGGAGGCTCACTGAGGAGGCTCACTGAGGAGGCTCACTGAGGAGGCTCACTGAGGAGGCTCACTGAGGAGGCTGACTGAGGAGGCTCACTGAGGAGGCTCACTGAGGAGGCTCACTGAGGAGGCTCACTGAGGAGGCTCACTGAGGAGGCTCACTGAGGAGGCTCACTGAGGAGGCTCACTGAGGAGACTCACTGAGGAGGCTAACTGAGGAGGCTAACTGAGGAGACTCACTGAGGAGGCTAACTGAGGAGGCTAACTGAGGAGGCTAACTGAGGAGGCTCACTGAGGAGGCTAACTGAGGAGGCTCACTGAGGAGACTCACTGAGGAGGCTAACTGAGGAGGCTAACTGAGGAGACTCACTGAGGAGGCTAACTGAGGAGGCTAACTGAGGAGACTCACTGAGGAGGCTAACTGAGGAGGCTCACTGAGGAGGCTCACTGAGGAGGCTAACTGAGGAGGCTAACTGAGGAGGCTAACTGAGGAGGCTAACTGCTGTCTGGTGTTTTGCTCTGGTGAATGGAGCAGCTTGATATCAGTGTAAACATTGGAACACTGCTGCAGCTTCTCCTCAGCCACGGTTCACTCTAAACATTTAGGAAGAGCCACACTTGGGACCCTGCTCTGAATTGATCACGGGCTCTCTTTGATGCCAGTGTGCTTGAAGTAGAAATGTGTAAACGCACTTTAAAGCTTTGGACGCAATAAGAGACGGTTAAGAAAAGCAAACGCAACGTCAAACTTCGGAGGCAAAACATGTGCAGTACGTTTTCTTGTAATCTTTGGTCCCGCTTGAAGGAAAATTATTTATGTTCTCTCGCTTACCAAATGTACTTTAGTCTATCAAAAATACCTTGACATTTACCAGCCAGGATAGATGAACTTCAGTTTGGATATTAAAAAAAGATGACTCAATATGAACCTTTTCAGTAATATTCATTTTCCTATGATGTATCTTAGTGTTATGTTGGCTTTGAACACATTGCCATAGAGCTTACGCCCCAACTCGCTCCATAGAGGACTTTCTCCGTCTTTCATCCAACATCATGTTTAGGAGAAATTATGAATCTTGTAAAAAAAAAAGGATAAATAATGGCAAGAATGCAATTTCATTTTCTCTTGCAAGTCATGTTCCTTTATACTACTGCCACCCTTACACCAACACTTAAACTCCCACACATCACATAATGCAGCCCAGCTTTAGAGGCCTTTTTCTCATTTGACTTGTCATTGTAAGAAAAGCACCGTCGTCACTAATAACGGAGAGAGCGAGCATGAACAAAACCAGCAACTGGGAATCAAAGCAGCATTCAGTCACCATCAGTGTCATCCTTTACGCGGCTGTAATGATGCTACCTAGATAAGGGTCAGTTTCAATTTGTTGATCTATGGCACATCGTTCCCTCCTTTTTTATTACGTTCAGTCTCATCCTGTTTGAATGTATTGGAGGCTCATGGCCTGTTGCTCTTTCTCTACTCCAAACTGTCTGTCAGGGCCTCTGGACTTTGTTACACTGTGACTGGAGCTCATTTGGGCAAAATGATTAAAAACCGTTGAATTAATTTGAAGGACTTTACGACAACCATTGATGTAGTTTCCTTTTTTTAATTGAAATGATCTTAATTTAGTTGTATTTCATAGTTATATAATTTAAGATAAAAACAATATATTTATTGTGACTGCAATATGAGTGGCATTGAGAATTCTATATAAGATTAGATATGTAGACGTACTCCTCCTCCTCCTCCTCCTCCTCCTCCTCCTCAGGAAAGACTCTGGAGGCACAGAGAGACGTGTGTGTGAACTAAGAGTAACCCTCAGTCCGCCAAAGGCAGAACATGACCAGCATTCCTGCCCATACCCATACAAGGCATCGGTCTGTCTGCTGGCAGCCGGGGTGTGATGAATGTATCAAGAGTGCACCCTCTCGAGTCTCATCGCAAATCCATGTTAAGCTCAGAGCAGCTGATAAACCCTCTTGGTCCGAGCTCGGTGGGACAATAGTTTACCTCTGCGTCTGGACGTCTTTTGTATAATCTGCGGAGATGTCAGCTAAACTCGCCAGGAATTCCTCTGTGCATATGTGATGAAAGACTGCGTGATTCAACATCAAGGACAGAATTCCTCAGCTGTATGCTGCTCTCCTCAAGTCCATGCCCAGGAGCAGGTGGACCGTGTTAATCAGACGTGTTCATAGGAATAAAGAGGGACATTATACCCAGCCTCCTCTGGGCACTGAACGTGCAGCTGTGTTGGGTTTGCAGATGGCCTTTTATGCTTCTTAATCTCTGGTGATATATGTTTGGCTGCACTGCCACCTCCTGGAAGGGAGAAAGTTAGAGCCTTGGTGACTGATCATGTAAGTTTAGCATCTCTGTATTCATCCCTATCTCTAAAGTAAACACGCATTACTCTGCTTTTCTGTCCTCAGAGAGCTGAAGCTGAGAAATTACACTCCAGAGGATGAAGAGCTGAAGGAGAGGCAGGTGCCCAAAGCCAAACCGGCATCAGGTGAGAAGCCTTCAGTCATAAGAGAGCTTTGAGAAAACATTCACTTAGTGTTCACATCACACCTAAGCGATAGCACATGGTCAGCTTCTGAACAGCAAACATTTAGCATCCTGCTAACCATATCTTTTCTGAATAATGATACATGTTCTTTGTTTGCAGTTGAGGACAAAGTAAAAGACCAGTTAGAGGCAGCTAACCCAGAACCCATCATTGAAGAAGTGGTGAGTCGTCCTTTTCTTTTGTAACTGTGATTTATTTTGTTGAAGAGTCACATTTTTTGTAGTTGCTTTATAGGTGGGGTAGGTAATTCACTTCAGAAAAACTTTTTGTTATATTCCATGGAATGCTCTTAAAGGAGACATGTCATGCTTTTCCGGTTATTACCCGTCCCCTTGTGTGTTATGAAGGTTTTTCTGCATGTAAACGGTCTGCAGAGTCACAAACCCTCAAAGTACACCCTGTAGGGAGTAAAACTCTAACACAGAAAATACCTCCCCAAAACGCCTCGTTGAAGATTTCTCATTTTTCATTGTTTACTTCCTGGGTATTGCTACGGAGGGATACCCAGTAGCCACGCCCAGAGCTATGACCAGGCTGATTGGTCCAAATTAACCAATCAATGGACTTCCTCACACACACACACACACACACACACACACACACACACACACACACACACACACACACACACACACACACACACACACACACACACACACACACACACACACACACACACACACACACACACACACACACACACACACAGTTCAGCTGATTTCTCCTCCCTGGCTGCAGGCAGTTGGGATCGCGGCGAAATTCTCTCTGCAGACCCATTCTCACAGCATTTATCAACCCTTTTCTTACTCAATATCAAGCCACACTTATTGTTTTTACTTCGGCTGTGACTTTGTGTGTGCTCAGGGTGAGTTTGGCTGTGTTTCGCTAAACAAGGAAACCACACCTCCACCGAGCTCAGCGCGATTCACAACGTCCCGACCAATCAGAGCACACAGGGAGGGTGGGGGCTGGAGCTATTGGAGCTACAACGAGCCGTTAAAGGCAGAGAGTGAAATTTAGTGAATACACGTAGTTTACAGAGATGCTGTTTGAGAAACCAATGTGAGTTTGGAAAATTGCACAATATAAATCTATTCTAGTAGACCTCAACAATGGAATTATGATCAGTGGAAATGGCCATGTCTCCTTTAACATCCCGATAGCAATGAATATATTAAATGCTTTGACAATAAATACATAAAAAAATGTCATCTGTGGAAGCCGTGGTGCTGTAAAAAGCACGACCAATCAAATCAGCCCGGCTAAAATAACTGGATGGCCGACCTGCCTGTCAGCCTTCCATCTGTGAACAAACTTATCTCGTGCCCTCATTGGTCATGTGCGCGTTCGTGTGTGTTGGAGGAGGGGCTCTGTGAGGAAGTTTGAAGGAAGGGGCAGATTTTTTTCGGTTGTGTACTTTCAAATTCTAGCGCACTCGAGCTGGTTTCTCCATTCTTACCTACCTTTAATAGATGTTTTATTTCCTCAGGATTTGGCCAACCTCGCCCCAAGAAAACCAGACTGGTAAGAGCTTCTAGAACATTATCTTTCACCCTGCAAATTGCAGAAAACCTTGGTATGGTTTAATGTTACCGACATTATCATCTTATTGTTTATATCTATTGTTTCTGATCGTAGGGATCTAAAGCGTGATGTGGCAAAGAAACTGGAGAAGTTGGAGAGGAGAACGCAGAGAGCCATCGCTGAGCTCATCCGTGAGTATTCCCTTTCTCATGTTTTTTTTGCACCACAGTGACGAGCAGGTCGGAGCGAGGCGTGAATTATGAGGCTAATTGCTCTGTGGTTTCCAGACTCAAGGGGCTTGACGCCATCTGATTACATCAATGATGCGATTGCTCCAGTTTGATCCACATTCTAATAATAGCCATGAGCTATCATGGAGAACACAATGTTTACACACCAACACTAGGCTAGGTTTATAATGGCATGAATACGTAAACAACAGTAACTCCTTATACTTTGGTTTCAACTCTTTTTTTTGTTTACAGCTTAAGGTAAATGAAAACATGATTGTGGGTTGTGCTTACTTTTGTAAATAACATAGTTCTTTTGCTCTGGGAGTATCTCTGCTTCTCTGTCGTTGTGATAACAGGGTTGCTCAGTTACAATATGTAAATGTTAATCAACCTGAATAAAAGCCTAACCAGGTTCTGCTCAATCTGCATGATCTCTATAAATGTTAAACATCTATTGATTGAAGAATGAATGATCAGATTGACCGTGAGTGTTTGTGTGCCCAGGGGATCGTCTGCGAGGCAGTGAGGAGGAGTTGGCCGCGGCGGTGGGAGCAGTAGGAGTGGAGGACGGAGACTCGGACTGAATCCAAAATGTGACGGATACAAAATAAATAAGACTACAGAGTGATCGCCTCTGCCTACAACACGGGACAGTATTGTCACATCCGTGTTGTTTTCAAAAAGACTGCCACTTTCAGGGTGTAAAGTAATATTTCAGGTTTTCATACGATATCCTTCTGACTCCTGCATTGTATCATTACATTATAACATTAATATGTAATGGAACATTCTGCTTATGTGGTTTATTAATGTGCATTGGTCATGTTACATCCATATTTTTCTGTAATTTTTATCTTTTCAAGTAAAATAATGTGATTTTTTTTTTTCTAATGCCTGATTATTATTTGTTATGCCTGGTGTCTTTATTTTGAGGCTGGGGGGGAGAGGCAATATGGATTAATTCCTTTATCACAGCATATGTAAACAATATATATATGTTGAGATATAATACAGTATGCAAAAACACTGACATCAAAATAAACAATATAATTAGAAATAAATAGAAATGTACAAACATTTACTCTTACATCAAGCGGTAGCTGTTGTAGTTCCATGTTATTACTAACAAATATATTTATTCTTTTGTTGCTGGACATCAAATAAGAGAAAAGACACTTTTTAAATATGTCGTATTTATTCAGAAAACGATCTGAAAACCCACCGACTAGGCCTTATTAAGTGAGCCCGATGCACTCATGATAGTTACTGCAACATTAATGTCTTGCTACTATTGAACCAAGTTGATCCAATGGGTGATAAATAGAGGAACAAAGATGAACAGATAACGATAAGCGATTTTTGGTATGACATTCACTAGTGATATCTATATCGAGCACGTATATACCTTTCCTGAACTAAATGGTTCCTATTTTCCCTCAATAAAGTGCTTCTTCCAACGTAGGCCTAAACTGTCTCCTCCACAGGGACGTATTGCACCATTCATCACCACTTCTCATTCAAGGCCACCGGTTCCTTCAACAGCGTTCCTCTGTTCTCAAAAGACAAATGATGAAGGCTCTAAAGAGAAACAGAAACCATTCAGTGCTCTTCTGAAGCTCGTAAAAACTGCACTAATGTGACAAAAGTGTCATTGAAATTATTATTAGCCATACTCACTGACCACAAAACAGGTTCCCCTACAATCTTCAAAAATATACAACATTAGCGATGAAGCTCACAAACTACAGATATTAATAGCAAGATGATAAATACTGCTAACAACGGAGGTGTTGATATTGTGGCTCTGGAAGCTGGTTGAACCTGTTCTATCATCACGCTGCTTTAAATACTGTGATGATCAGCAAGAAAAAGCTGATAAATCCTGGGATTTGGTATTTCACAAGAGGAAACTGAGATATTGTTGTTCAACGAAGCATCGTATCTAGACCTTGGGGGGAGTCAGAGGTTGTTTTGGCACTCGGAGTGGGAGAGTAAATACTCCTGCATGCAGATTAGCGAAAGATAAAGGGTTATCGCTGGTCAGAAGCAGGAAATGGCAACGAGGAGGCCTGAACGCCCAACCTCAATCAAAGGCTGGCATTCAGCTGCCACACAGACCTCAGATTTAGCCCTTGAGCAGGATTGCTGTTGATCTTCTTGATATTGAAGCGTTATGATTGGTTGATAAGGTGGGTGAGAATCTGACTTGTGGATTCTTGGCTTCCTGGGGGTCACTGGGGAACAGGAAGTGACTGTCAGTCGCACTGTCCTCCACCAGATTCAATCTTCCTGGCTGCAGGACCCAGCTCCACCTTGCACACCCGCTGGGCGAACTTCAGTGAGCACAATGTCTCTCCCACATTACTCTCCAGAGCAGATACCTTTAGTGGAAACAAAACAAGGCTCATGACACGCATCAAAGAAGACTACAAATGTAGTTTTGTAATAAAATGTTACACTTTTAAGGCTGAGACACTTGCATCAGAAATCTCACCTGCACCACCATGGCAGTCTTGCTACCTTTTCCCAGGGAGTCTTGTAATAAGTACGTAAGGCGGGAGTTCCTGAAAGGGATATGAGTCTGCCGAGCTCTCAGTGCCTGAATGACGTCACCCAGTGACAGCAGGGAGCGGTTAATATTCTGCGCCTCTTTCAGCCTCTCTCCCTCTGCACCAGACTTCCAAACCCTCTCAGAGCCAGCCAGGTCCACCAGGTTCAATTTTCCTGAGAAAGGAAAAGTGAATTCAGAGTGAACGATGCAGACAGTCATCTTTGGACTAGCTTCTGTCTGACTGGATCAGAAGTTCTTCCTATGCTCTAATACTCTTTTTCTTAAATTCTCTTCTGACTAAGCGCTGCAGATATTCACAGTGATGTCCCTTGGGAAGTATTTTATTTTTTAATTTAGCATAATGTATTAGACTGCACTCAGCTTTAATAAAAGAGATGGATTCAAAGAGAAATGCCAAATCTTATTCAGATTTATAGCAAATGTTAAGAACACACTTTCTCCTGTAGAGGAATAAGTGCCCATGTGACTGACCGGTGGTTTTGGAGCCGGTGGCGAGGTCGGTGCCCTGCACGGTGACGCAGAGCAGAGCGTGGGAGCGGGAGCTGTGCTGGTTCATCTGAGTGCCGAAGGTGATCCTGTTCCTTCGAGCTTTGGCTAAAATCTAAACAAAAACAAGAAAAATGTGCATAAATGAAATACTTTTATATCTTGAACAGTAATAAATGATCCTATCAGCACAAACTGTTAAAAACAAACCTTCTTGATGTGCTGAAAGCTCTTCACCTCGATGACCCTGAGGCCCGGCACATGCAGCTGTCCCGTCCCGTCCGGGTTGATCTTAATGTCCAGTTTCTCTCCGTCCTTACTCAGCAGGTCTCTGAGAAACAGCATTTTGTCAACCTTTATTTACACTTGTATAATACTTGAGGGGCGATCCATATTTACAATGACATCCAGTCTAAAAAAACAATAAAGGAAAAAAAACAACAAAAAGGAAATATAGGAGCAGAAAAGGGGCAATATCTTTAAAAAAAAAAACCTATTTAAACCTTTTGATTAGGTAAAAAGATTTTAGACACAATTGGATATTTAGCATACAAAACAGAACAGTATGTGAAAATGTAGTAGATATCATATATTACAGGCTAAAGGGACATAAAAGTGCAGAACATTGTACCTTAGCACCTCGTTGTAGATCTCCACAGAGCTGACGGTCACCGTGTAAGTCCACATGTCCTTCCTTTCCTCGATCTCACTGAAGAGATGTTTCAGGGCTCGCTGGTTGATGCCTGGGTTCTCCACACTGCCCTGAAGATAAAGTGATACTTAACCTGCAGCCCACATTATGGAACAAATGTGCCGAGTGTGTACTATATCTGTAATCAATATTCAGCTCCAATAATGCAGTACAACTAGATACCTCCATTGTGTAGGTTTTTCCAGAGCCAGTTTGTCCATAGGCAAATATGCAGACATGGTAGCCGTCGATGCAGGACGTCACAAGAGGCTCTATCTCCTGAAAGACCTGAAAACAAACCAAATAAAGTGTTAGATCTTATTACTATTATATTTCCTGCATATCCTGTGCGTCCTCATACCTCTTCCTGTGTGGCCTGAGGGTGGAAGACCTTGTCCAGTTCGAAGATGCGATCCTTTCCTTTGTTCAGCACATTGAGTGAGGACTCGTTGTTGGGGTCCGTGGTCACCACCACAGACTGGCCCTCCTCGTGCTGGTCCTCCTTCAGCACCGGCTTCACACGGCACAGCACGCGGATGTTGCCTGATAAAAAGAAGGCCCAATTAATGATGTACGGTTCATATTCTGCAGTGTTTTTTTCCCCTCTCTGCTTACCTTTAAGCTCCACCAGCTGCTCGTGGTACTTCCTGCGCAGTGCAACCTCCTTCCTGTATTTCTCCAGGAGATCTTTGTTGGCTTCAGACATCTCACTAATAGCTGCTGTAACCTGACAAACAGACAAATATGTAACAAAAAAAAGTAAACTAGGCTTGTTGAGCTGGTCAGATTGATCAATCTCCTTATGCAACAAGGTTGTAAGCCTTGATGTGGAGTCACAGTACGTACCTGTTTTTTCGCGTCATTGATAGCTGCTCCATAAAAGTCGGAGAAGTTTCTAACCTGGCTCTTCAGACTGGTGTAGTCGGTTTTCATGGAGCGTAAAGTTGGAGGTAGTGCAGTCAGACGTTTCTGCAAGCCTGACAAAAATACACAAAGATGTGGAATCAGGCACATATACAATTCTGAATCAAATAATAACTTCAGGGAATTCGCTTTTTTACACTTTCTTGAGTCAGATGAGAAGATTGATACTACTCTCGGCAGCATTTGGTTAGCCTAGCTTAGCAAAAACACTGGAAATGGGGAACCAGCTATAGCCTGGCTTTGTTCAAATTAAACAACATCACCCTACGAGGCCCTGTCTTACTTGTTTACCTAATTGATTTGTTGAATCTGTACAAAAAGAGTGGTATCAATCTTGTCATCTAATTCTCAGCAACAAAGCAAAAAGGCACATTTCTCAAAGTGTCTCTTTAAAGATTTCTTTTGGGGGGTTTTCTATCACTCACCGAAGAATTGGTCCTGCAGGTTCTGGAAGTGCTCGGCTGAGCAGGTGGAGGCAGCTTTCACAGCCTCCTCCTTCTTCTCCTCCAAGTGTCCAATCTCTTTCAACAGCTCCTCCCTCAGTTTAGTGATTTCTCGCTCATACGCTGCAATCTGTAAAACGCACAGCATTTTGTTTAAAATGTCAACTTGACTTGTCCAATCTGTGCCAGCTCAGCTCTGTAATGAGTTCATCTGTCAATCATATTGATCTGGTTTGGAATTTACAGCAGCAAAGAGGAAACCTCCTCATCCTGTCTCTGATTTTCACCGCTTTGATCATTTATTCTCTCAAACAGCATGTGCTTTATTTACCCTTTTCAATTCTGTCTCTTTCATATTTTGTAATTAAGGTTGACGGCACCAAGAGGATCATCTGGGATTTCTTACCAGGTTCCTTGCCTCTTAGTGGCCTGAAGCATCAGTATTTATTATGGTAGAACATTATTTTCAGCAGCCCATCTTACTTTATATCCAGTTTTTGCTGTTTGAGAAATGTATAAAAAGCTGATTTAGCACTCTTCTTTTATTTCACTTAAGTATAACTTGTTTTATACTGCCAGTGCCTGTTCATTTATATAATATTTACTTTAACACAGGAATGACAGACACTAATTTACACCAAACTAGTCAAGCGTGAATTCTATGGCTCCTGTTACCTTGTGCTGGAGATTACAGCTGTATTCATCAGACTTCCTGATGTGTTCCTCCAGCTGTTTGCACCGCTCATTCTGATTGGCCAGTTTATCGGATAG